TTTAACAAAGTAATATTGAAATAATATTTATGTAACAAAAAATTCGAAAATCCAACAAAACCGAACAATCCAAATCGATATAATTGGTTTGGTTTGATTTTGATAAAAATCCAACCAACTCGTTCTATGTACACCCCTAATCTACATAGTTAATAAAAAAATAGAAAATGTCCAGCTGAAAAAAGACTAACAACTCAAATTTATAACACTACAACTTAAACTCTAGGCTTTTAATCATTAAATTATCTTTCTGGAAATAATTTAAATATTTTGGTCTTTTGAGTATTGTTAAAGGTTGAGATATTTTTATTATTTTAAAGTTTAAACCATAATTTTTGGAATAAGTTAATTTTGTTTATTTAGAGGGCCAGTGAAATTGGAACTTGATTACCTTATGGGAGAATTTTCTTAGTAATTGGAATTCATGAGTTTTGTCAAGTGAAATTGGTGACGAAAATGGAGAAGGCATCAGTAATGTAGGAAACGGATAAGGGAGAAAGAAAAAGGAAAAAAAAAGAGAAGAAAAGAAAAAAGAAGAAAGAAAAGAGAAAGGTAAAGAAAAAAAAGTACTAATAAAAAGAAAATAGTGTTTGTAATACACTTTAATACAATTAAAGAAAGAGTTAATTAGTTTGGGTGAATTCCGTTTCGAAAAGGGCATATATGGGCCAACTGTGTAACTCTAAGGGTATATATGGACCAACTATGTGACGGTAAGGGTATATTTAAGCTAAAGTATTAACGAAGGGCAAATATGCTCAATTTCGTATAGTATAAGGGCATATTTGGACCTTTGCCCTTCAATTTATAAGTCCAGAACCTTCCTCCTATTTCAATTTATAAGTCCAAAACCTTCCTTATTAAGCTTGAAATCAATCTACTTTCTTACGAACAAAGTTTGAATAGGAATTAAGTAAGTCAGATAATTAAACAAAAAGTTTAGTATTCCATACTTACAAAAAACACATGTCCCTCCAAGAACAATGAAAATTACAAAAGTAATAAAGGCATCTGTTGCATACCTTGCTAATTGAAAAGGAAAGACTAATCATGGCCGTTTAGGACAAATTTGGGTGTCATTTTCAGGGAGTTGGTACTTGAAAGAGTAGCAAGAGAGAAGGTGCAATGCACCAACAAAATTTGATAAGTGGGGATAGTTTTATTGACTCCCACAAGCATAGAACTACTAGTTAGGAATCCTAAAACTCAGACTTGGAATAAAGATTAAAAAAATCTGACTGTTTGACCCTGGAATTTTATCTTTCTCTAATCTTAAAGGTTCTTACAAAATTCTCTCTTTGTATAAATTTAACATTATCTTGCATCAACTGCCAGCAAATCCATTGACAGACTTAAAACTTAGGACATGGTATTGAAAACTAGCAGCAATAATATGTTCATTTTGGGTCAGTACAAAGAATTCAGAAGTCACTCAAAAGTCTAAAAAGAGATTTGTTAAGTTCCCACTAAAGAAACCCCCACATAAAACAAGATTACATTAAGATAACTATAATCTCATTCTTTAAGTTCATGGGTTCATTTGTCTACTTCAGCTACAATGTACATCTCTTACAACTTGGATCATCAACTTGATATTAAAAGTTAAATGAAAACTGGGATTTGTGTTATGCGTTATGAGTACTAGAACATATAGCAACTTCACCTACCATTTAGCCATAGCTTCTTCCTAACTGAACTCTCGATCGAGCTTATCACAATTGACAAGATTGCTCAGGACACTTTCAAAATTTACGGCTAAAAAAAGATACGTAATAAAGAAAGATACCATAAATCATATGACACCTGTATATAGTATAAGAGACACTTCAAGTCTAATAAGGACAAGGTAGAAACAGGCAACCACATCAAACAAATAATAATTCAATTACAAAGACAAGCTAAAAGTAAAAAAGGGTAAATTTCAGGAATCAAAATTTAGCATAGAATACGTGGGTCTACTTAAAATCAGAAGAATAGGAATCTTGAGTCGAAGCTAAAGTCCTAAAATTGGCTGTTTCTTCCTCCTCATGATTATTAATAATACAAGTACCAAAAAGCTCTCTCTTTTGTAGCTACTAGGCGACCATATCCATTATCTTACTGTCTTTATGTACAGTCCATTTACTTCCAAAACGTCTCTCTCCATATGTGTAAAATATGTTACACGTATGTTTGAATACATGCTGAATAGAAGTAACACGATCATATGCATTCTACGATCCCAAAACAATTGTATAAAACCTTTAATTCTGTCAGAAACATATGAACAATTATCAGCAAAAACTTCTCCAATACTACAAAACAGCACACAAGTTGTGCACACTCATACCGTCAAAAGGCCAAGCTAGCATATTAGGTACGGATTCGACCAGACCCACTCATTTTTGCTTAAATACTATTATATTTGTAGTAAAATATTCATTATATACATATATATATTTAATTGTGAACTCAATGACTCCGCCTATGTCATACCCTTTAAGTGCACTAATCATGCATCATGCTATGTTACTCGAACTCTCCAAAAATATTGATGGGTGCATGTCGGATTCTTTTTTCGGAGGGTCCGACACGAGTGCAGTAGCTGTTTTGGAAAGTCTGCACAACTTAAATAGAGTATCATGTATATGGTAATTAAAGTAGGATCTAAATTTCCCTTTTGTGTATAGGGAAGTCCTCAATCTCATTACATTCACACAGTACAGCAAGAAGTTAAATATCCCTGAGAATTAAAAAGATATCAAAATATCCAAAAGAGATAAGTTGGAAAAAGATACACGACAGCTTAGACAATTGGCTTGAATCAACCAGCAAAACAAAAGTCCCAATCACCTGAAAGCAACCACAGGAGATACTTCTCACATAGGTGACTATATATTAGATCAAGACACATATACAACAAGTTTTAAACATAGCTGCCCTGCTAATATAATATTCTCCATATGTCCAGTTGAATACACAATTGATAACAGAACACCTTCTTCTGACTTGGATCTCAACAAACTAATGGAACCACAAGAATTTCAAGAACTGGAAAAATCTGAAAGTCCCAACTCTAAGAGAGCCTTAAAGAAGAAGAGTACTGAAAATGGTAAAAGGTTTACTGATGAACAAGTCAAGTTCCTTGAATCCATGTTTAGACTAGAGACAAAGCTTGAGCCAAGAAAGAAGCTGCAGTTGGCAAGAGATCTTGGGCTGCAGCCGCGCCAAGTAGCTATTTGGTTTCAGAACAAAAGGGCCAGATGGAAATCAAAGCAACTAGAGCACGAATATATAGTACTCAAAGCTAAATTTGACAATTTAAACATGCAATTTCAATCCTTGAAAACAGAAAAGGAGAGACTGCTCATTCAGGTATATTTCTTTTTTTCTTTTCTTTGTATCCTCTTTCTAACAGTCAAAACCAACTTATAGAAGCTAAATATTTTGTTGTGTTAAACAGTTGGAGACATTAAATGATGAGCTAGAAAAGAGCAGCAGAATCCAAGATTTAAAAGACAATGAACTGTACACAAGCTCAGAAAATGGAGGAACAGACTTAGAGTTGAAAGATAGTCCCGGTTGTTCAAATGCAAGATTTGACCACAAGAGGGTAAAGGAAGAGGATGATGATACAGCAGAAGAAACAGATAAATACTTCACTCCCAAAGAAGAAACGGAGTTTTGGAACCTGGAGGAATTAGGAGACAGTTCCTTAGAACACTGGTGTGTTGGCTTAGGTAGCAGCTTCAACCAATCATGTGGAAATTCCAAGTTGTGGGATTTCTGAGCCTCACAGTTGTATAGAAACTTTCTCAAAGAGCTCCCTTTTCACCATTAATAGAGTCGAAGTAGTAGGAGAATAGGAGGAATCTATATCCCAGTTTTCTGTTTTCTTTTTCTCCATTGTGCCCAAGAATCAGAATTTAGCTTGATAAAAATTATTCTAGTCTTTTGATAGGAGTAGTAGCACAAACAGCAGAGGTTTTGCTTGTGAATGAATGTGCATGAACAAGATGCATGCTTTAGTTTTCTCCAAAACCTTTTTGCTGTTCACCAGAAAGCATAGGAAAAGAAGTTGCTGAAAAAAAAAACATGCAATGAAAGGAAAAGAGGAAACAAAACACTCATTTTTCTTGTTATGTAACCATAATCAGACAAAAGAGATACTCGGCCTTCAAAATTAAAATTGCATATCCCACTGGATTTTTATACTAATTTTTGTGAATGAAATTTCTAAAGTGCGATCACACTAAAGACAACTGCTAACCATATAAAATCACCAGAATAGAGATACATGTACCTCTATCAGTCTGAAGCTGCAGCAACTGATATTTTAATTGAGTGCATAGAACTTCTATTCTGGAACAAGTGACGGTTAATACAATAACAATCATTCTGACCAAAATGTAAAAGAAAGGAACAGAAAATTGAAGGTAAAGGACTGCTGGCTATTTACTAGTTAGGCTCATCATTATTAGATACTAATAGATATCCCTCTTTCTCTTTCCAGCGTGGCGTTTTTTTCCAGTCATCCCTCCATTAGGTAACTGAGAAGTAGGAATAATAAAGATTCAATTTTGTCCTAAAAAAAGGGAATTAAGATATTCCATTTGCATTGCGGCAATCTACTTAAATTAGAAAGGCAAGGAAGTAATCAGCAATTACATGAAAGCTGGAGTTAGCAATAGGATGACTTAATGAAGATAATTGGGTAAATTCCAACTGGAAAACGTATGTATTTCAGCACACTCACTAGAGGAAGATCCAACAGCAAAAAACCTGGACTATAAAAAAAGCGCTGCTGTGTCAAATCATAAAAACATCAAATATATTAAGAAGACATTTGTAACGGCATACCGACGGTTTGGCCGAGTGGTCTAAGGCGCCAGATTTAGGCTCTGGTCCGATAGGGCGTGGGTTCAAATCCCACAGCCGTCATTTTTTGTTTTTTCATTCAAATCCCACAGCCGTCATTTTTTGTTTTTTCATTTAATCAATTAGCGATTTGCAACTAAAAATCTCGTTTTATCCAAAGGGTCGAAAACGGAAGAACCGCACCTTATCAGTTATCAGCATATGGCTCTCTCACTCCCAGCTTCAAAATCCATTTTTTACATAAGATGTAGCAATTCGACAAATGATCCTGTTCCATCTTCCTCTGTGTTTAAATCCCTCAAACTTCCCCGTTTCTGGCCATGGCAAAAGGTACTTTCTTGCATGTACAGTTTCATCTCCTTCTGCTAGCTGCATGAATTTTGAGAAAATAAAGGTTGATTGAGTTAAATTTGTAGGTAAAGATGGGACCTTTAACAGTATCTCCAATGGGTTTTGGTACTTGGGCATGGGGAAATCAACTTCTCTGGGGTTATCAAGATTCTATGGACTCTGAACTTCAGCGCACTTTCAATCTTGCGGTGGAGAATGGCATCAACCTATTTGATACGGCTGATTCTTATGGGACTGGAAGGTTAAATGGACAAAGTGAGAAACTTCTCGGAAAATTCATTCGCGAATTTCCAGGTGACATTGTTGAGCATTTCATGGACTAATTCATTAGAAAGTTTGAATAGCCAATCACATACTCAAGAATCATTCCCTTCAGGAACTAGGCATAGAATTGCATTGCCAATTCATATGATCCTATCTTAGGACGCGAATGCTTCATCGTGAAATTCTTAGTTGTTTCACATTTGTGGAAACATAGAGCAGCACTGAATTTAGTTTAGCTCCCAACTTTTCTTGTTTAATTTTGTGTGGCTCGAAGAATTGTTTGCTGCTCTAATCAATTATGTAAATCTGTGACATAATAGGAAGAGAAGCAGAAAAGGGATAATAGCTATGCTCACCTGCAGGGTGGACTGACTGTTGGACTGCTCTTTGAGCATTTGGTGCTCATTACATATATCAAGTCTACCCAATTCTAATGGCAGTGGACATTCTCTTTTGTTTTCTGAGTTTTTGACCGCTCATGTTTTCAGGAGACAAGCAAGTAAAGAATGACATTGTGATTGCAACAAAGTTTGCAGCATACCCATGGCGCCTAACACCTGGACAATTTGTGAATGCTTGCAAGTATTGCTCATCCTCATCTCTTCTGCACATACTGATAATCAGAATATCAAAACTCCAGTTCTATGGGGAAAATATATCTATATTTTCACTCGATCAAAATTACATGTTTGTAGGAAGTGCACTAATTTACATTATCTAGTACCTTTATCTGGTATAACAAACTTTTAAGAGTACAGCAGAAGACGTTAGCCTCATAATTTAGCTGTTTCATATGAACCAACAAAATACAGAATCTTTTGTCAGGTCTTCTCTGGATAGGATGCAAATTGAGCAAATTGGAATAGGACAATTGCACTGGTCAACTGCAAATTATGCACCTCTGCAGGAACAAGCTCTTTGGGATGGTTTAGTGGCCATGTACGAGAAGGTTACTAATAACTCAAAGTATTTATTTGGAATCGCGTGCATTGTTTGACCATTTAGTGTGAGGGAAGATCAACATTTTGGTGATTCTGTCACTCCTAAAAAGCAACTCTGAATCTACTATTTGCTAAATCTGGTCTTTATTATCACCGAATGAATAAAATACGTGATTGATTCATATTGTTGCACAATTTTTCTCTCGTGCAGGGTTTAGTTCGTGCAGTTGGGGTGAGTAACTATGGACCAAAGCAGCTGCTGAAAATACACAAATATCTTGATGACCGAGGAGTTCCTTTGCGCTCAGCCCAGGTGCCGAGTCTTCTTCCTACTTTACTATGAAGTATGCAGTTACCTTTCTTTTCAGAAGCAAATACAATTTGTTACATGTACAATGCTCAAGTTAGATATTCACAGTCTGGAATGCTCTATTGTTAAAAAGAGGTAACAACACAATGTATTACTTCTGGGAAGTCTAAAGAAAATGAAGACAGTCAGCTCTAATGGGACAGACTTACCTCGTACCTGTGCTAGTGCGAGGTAGCATGTATCTGGTATCTGGTAGATTCATCAAGGTCGCGCAAGCTAGCCTTGATTGTAGTAGTCATCAATTCATATAACCAGATCGTAGTTAAATTGCTCTTAAGCGTTGCTTGCTTTAGTGCCACAATCTTAATCCTGTGACCTCTCCAACATCAGGTACAATTTTCATTGCTGAGTATGGGAAGTGATCAAATGGAGATGAAAAATGTATGTGATTCTCTAGGCATACGGGTCATAGCATACAGTCCTCTTGGTCTTGGTATGCTCACTGGGAAATATACGCCCTCAAATCTTCCACCTGGGCCAAGGTACGCACTCTCAATTTCTTCTCAAGTTTTAATTTTTCTAACTAGTAAATCAGCAGGTATAGCTCAAGCTACTATTTGATACTTTTCTCAACGTAAAACATCACTTGTAGGGGACTACTCTTTAGACAAATACTACCTGGATTGGAGCCATTACTTACCTCACTGAGAGAAATAGCTCAACGACGTGGGAAAATAATACCACAGGTAAACGCTTTTTGAAATTTTAGTGGAATGCTCTTCCATCTGTATTATGATACTTTCTATTCAGCTCTTTAATACAAACAAGCAGGCCACTGCATCTCACTGCTGGTTCAGTATTCTCATCTAATAGGCCTTTCATATAGTGCAGGGTTTAGTCCATTCACGCTGTTAATTTAGTTGGATCTTTCTCAGCCCTATTGAAAGTATAGTTCGTCTTCACTAAAATTTACTTCCTTTAACCTGGCCTTGACATTACTCATGCAGACCTGCAAAAAGCAGTTGGTATGTACTTTAGGTCATTTCCATCCTCACATTGTTTGTCAGAGCTACAATCCTTAGTCCGCAAAGTTTAGAAAGAATCTAGTACTCTCTGTTTCTCTTTTCTCCAGAGTCCGTTGCATTGATCTTAACAGTTTCAGTCTGTTTCCTCACTCACAATTGTTAAGTTTGAAGATACATGTCAAAAGGAAATACGCAGCCTTTCTTTGTACTAATAAAGTATGCCTTCATCAGCTCTCTTTCAAATGCTATAACACTTGAGCAGCAACTTCTGTCAATTATCAATTAACATCATCTACTCTGACGAATTGTTCTTTTTTTTTATTTTGCTTTCTCGAGTACTTCTTTACTTTGGGAAAGTTCTCATTGAAGGATGAGAGGTTGCAAAATAGACTGACTTTTTGGTGGAGATAGATTCAACATATGTTTCCCTTAAACGAACCCATAACCAGACGAGCAACACCAAAAAACTAGAGTGGGAAAAATGGTCGAACTCCTTAGTCTTTCTAGATATAGATGCATTTAACTTGTGAAGCAAAAACAAAAATGAACTGGAACTTCAGGAGAATAGTTTCTCAACAAAGAATTTTAAGCTGTTCATAGAAAATACTGATTAACAGCTGAATTCAAGGTTCTCTTCTCTTTCATTTGCTTCCCCTATTTCTTCGTCTCTTTTTTTCCGTAGTAGCATGGATATCAATTATCATATTGATTGGACGTCTTTAGCGAATAGGCAAAAATGTTAATGGACGGACGAGTATCTCTAGTCTATCTATGACGTTTTTTATATGAGGTATTTTTGGGAAACAAACGTACATTAGTTTTGAACCCCCCTGCAGGTGATCCCATGGCTGAACTATAAGCGTATTCCAGCAGAAGCTGACAACCTTACCTCTCAATTTCTTGAATAGAATCAGAGACACTGTTCTTTATGCTTGGTCTAATATTTCATTCATATTATTCACAGAACGGTGCTCGATATTATCATTGCTTGTCGGTAGTTATTTCATTTGCAGGCAATTAACATAGAGTTGCATTGCAGATAGCTATCAACTGGTGTATATCCAAGGGTACAATTCCTATCCCTGGAGTCAAATCTGTAAAACAAGCTGAAGAGAATCTAGGAGCCCTTGGCTGGCAACTCACTTCTGATGAATTGCTCCAATTAGAATACGCAGCTCTTGATTCTCCACGCAAGATGATCCAAAACGTATTTCAGACAAAATGATAACTTCTCCGCATAATGGATATACAAGGAGAAGGCAGCAATCGAGTTAAAGGACACCAATGCACACCTATGGATCATTTTCATATATTCATTTGCTCTTCAGAGAGGCATTTTCTCAAAAAAATGAGCAAGGTCGCTTTGTTTACCGGTAATGTATATCCTATCCACGGAGATAAAAACTTTAGATATCAAGGCCGAGTGTTGGGTCACAACACTCGTATCAACATTTCCTCAAGTAGTCTTGGATACTGCCGGTAGGAACAGAAACAGGGCCACAGAAGATAACAAATAAAAACGCAGCTCATAATCATACTAAACTCAAAATGAGCACTAAATTCTTTTTGTAAATGGAACTGAAGTTGAAACAAATGTGCTGCAGTTAAACAGACAACAATAGAGCCACCAAAATGTGAGCTAAACAAAAGAACTACAAAACCATACATGATAGAAAATGTAAATGCAACCGCCTGTTTACTTGATCTTCTTCTTTGGCCTCAACTGCAAAGCAAGTAACAAAAAAAGCATTAAGTGTATGGAGACTCAAGTTGAACGACATACATGATAGAAAATGTTGCTGAAACCCAAGAAGATACCTGGTTGCTATGGCCACATTTCTTCTTCCTGCAGTTTACAGCACGAGGATGCAAACGGGCATAGCACCTGTAGAGAAAACAAGAGTATACACCAGAGTTTTGGATACATGAATGGCATAAAAAACACAACTCCACATGCACATTTCTTTTTCACCGCTGCAAACATAAAAGCGAAGCACTAGATGGAAAGGACCTTGGCAAGCACTCAAAATTTATTGCTTGGTGCAATAATCATTGAGCCTCAAATGATATAACAATGACAAAAGTGAGAACTAATCTGTCAACATTTTCTTGAGCGAATGGCAAATTCAGTACATCATATTACCATTTCAAAATAAAATTACACCATATTCTAGCAACTGTCTTCTCATGCTAACTCAGTATCATAACTATGGAAATGGTAAAACATAAATGTGTGTAGTAAAACGGCTATAGTGGAAGATCTAGAAAGACNCTAGAAACAGGGTTCATAGGTAGATAATATTTGGTAGTTTTTTATACATCAGATACCCTCTAAGAACCTTAACTTTTCCTTCAGCTAAGCACGAAGCAGCTTTAATAATGTTAGTTTCGCATTCAGGGTGCAGCTCCACCACAGAGGTTTTTTGGACTAAACCCCACCCACAGCTTCAAAACACCATCTTTCAACATTATTCCATTTCATCCCCATGATAAAAGTTTATATTCACTATCAGGAGCAAGTTAGGACAATGACACACAAATGGCATCCAAGCTTACTGGCCATCTTAAAGAGTTGATGTTTAAGTGAAAATATTACATCTTCTGAAAGCATTTACTTTCACTGGGCTCTAAAGGAACATAAAGAACCAATACATATACTTAACAGTTTCGATTCCTGACATGTAGAGTTCAGCAAATGATCGAGATAAGTAAATGAAACTCAAAGCTGCGTTGTTCAGCGGAGAACTTACTTGCGGCAAATCATCTTATCCTGGTTGTATTTCCTGGCCAAGGCCATAAGAGACGGTTCAATGATTCCCTCCACGGAGCCTCAGGACAAGATGCAGAGTCGACTCTGTTTTATACAAAAGATATTAACTAAAAAAACAAGCTAACAATAAAACAATTGCTTATATTGCAAACTTTTTATCGAACACAAACCTTTTTGGATATTATAATCAGCCAGTGTACGCCCATCTTCAAGCTGTTTACCAGCAAAGATCAATCGCTGCTGGTCCGGTGGAATACCTAGAAACGAGCCCATGAATTCATATAAGAGATGCCCACTATTGCTAAATTGATTTAATTTCATTTGGATACCATTTCATTTCCAGAGCTCAAATATGAGAAGCAATTAAACTTAAGAAAATAGAAACTTTAACAGGTGAATTACCTTCCTTGTCCTGAATCTTGGCCTTGACATTGTCGATGGTATCGCTGGATTCGACTTCAAGGGTGATGGTCTTCCCCGTTAGGGTTTTCGCGAAGATCTGCATCTTATCTCTCCCATAACTGGAACTTCCGCGATGGGGTTGCAGCCTTTTTTTTCCTTCAGGAAGCTTATATTGGTGATTTTTAGGGTTTAGGAGTTTTCTCATCGAGGGAAACGACATCCTATACGTGTGTTAAATCTAAGCGTAAATTTCATTTAATGTCTGCATGCATAGATCTTAAAAATAGGTTCACCTCCATGTACATTTAAACGTCACAAATTAGGCTGTAGAACTTCAGATATAGTTACACTTGCTTTTTTTGTAGTTTGGGCATCGCAATCTATTGGGAAAATATTGTGCAATATTTTATTTTTCTTTCTTATTTCTTGGTATATTGGTATAGAAAAATATGTCTGGTAAAAGAGTCTTATAGTTGTAGTATTCCATATAAAGAATTGTATCTAATTTAGGATTGTTCGGTATCTTTTTGTATATATATCCTTCCTTGTGAATGAAAGAGGCTGCCTTGAAACCCCAATTTTTCTTGTAGTTTTTTCATGGTATCAGAGCCATGGCTCCTAAAGAAGAAGAAACCTCTAGTTCTAACAAGAAAACTACGAGCCTGTATATACTGAATTCAGATGATAACATGGGTAATATTATTACCCAAGTGCGGAGAGGAAAACTATTATGAATGAGCGTTAGCCGTTCGGACTGCTATCAGGTCCAAGAAAAAATATGGGTTCATTGATGAAATTGTTAAACAACCAGAAAAAGATTCTACCGATATTGAAGATCGGTGGACTGTAAATTCAATGTTGGTTTCCTAGATTTTCAACATATTATCGAACCCAAGCTTCACTCAACCATATCTCAAATGGAGAATGTGAAAGACTTGTGGGAGAATATTAAGCAGCGACTCTCTGTTGAAAATGGTGCTAGAGTGCAACAATTGAAATTAGATCTTGCAAATTGCAAGCAAGATGGGCAGAACATAGTTGCATGTTATGGTCCACTCAAGATGATTTGGGATAAACTGACCAACTATGATCAGATTCCAATTTGTAGATGTGGTGGATGAAAATGCAATCTCACTGCAGAACTAGAAACAAAACGTGAAAAAGAATAGTGCGTTCCAATATACTAAGTCGAGAATCGTTGCCGAATTTGAACGGATTCTACTCAAGGATTATTCAACAAGAACGTGTGATGTCGATGACTCGAACTAAGGGAGAAAATGGGACTCCCATGAGATTTGCAGTGCAAGTTGGTAGTCGAAGTTCATAGGGAATGAAGGGGATAAAAACCACAGGACATGAACCGAGTACATATGCATATGCAATAAAAAGGAATGCTGGAGATAGACTATGAAATACATAAAAGAGAATACTACATGGACAATAGATATACAAAATGCATGCCTCTACGGAGACTTAGACGAAGAGGTATACATGAAAATGCCTCATGTCTTCGTTTCTCCAACACTAGGTAAGGTGTGTCACCTTCAAAAATCACTATATGAATTGCGACAAGCACCTCGATACTGGTTTGCTAAACTAGCTGCTTCGTTAAAAGGGTATGGATTCAAACAATCTTGTTCAGATTACTCTTTATTCACATTTCGAGATGGTTCGGTTAAATTAAATATTCTCATCTATGTGGATGATCTCATTATTTCTGTTAATGATAAGACATCAATACAAAAATTCAAAGATTATTTGAATAGATGTTTTCATATAAAGGACCTGGGGAGATTGAAATACTTTCTTGGTATTGAAGTGGCACGCAATCCAGATGGTATTTTCTTGTGTCAACGTAAGTATGATTTGGATATTATATCTAAGGCTGGTTTGCCTGCTGCTAAACCAGCCAATACTCATCTTGAACAAACAAGCTAGCTCTAGCTACGGGAGATGACACTGATGATCCCAGCCAGTTTCGACGACTGGTTGGGCGGCTTATTTACTTGACAATTACTAACCCTGAATTATCATATCGAGTGCATATTCTAGCTCAATTTATGCAACATCCGAAGAAAAAATATTTAGATGCAACAATGAGGGTTGTGTGTTATTTGAAGTGGAGTCCTGGTCCAGGTATTCTGCTTAGAGCCAATTGTGATTTGCGATTGTATGCTTATATGACTCATATTGGGCTGGTTGTCCATTGACTCGACATTCCTTGACCGGATATTTTGTTCTCTTGGAAAATTCACATATTTCTTGAAAAACTAAGAAGCAACACATAATGTCTCATTCATTTGTCGGAGCTGAATACCGCTCTATGACCATTACGGTTTGCGAACTTAAATGGTTAAAGGGGCTGTCGGCTTCACTTGGTGTTAATCATTCTGATCCTACACGTTTGCATTATGACAGCCAATCAGCTTTGCATATTGCTGCTAATCACGTTTATCATGAAAGAATGAATCACATTGAAGTGGATTGTCATTTCATTCGTGATGAGATTTAAATTGGAAATATTCAGATTGCCTTTGTGAAATCCTCTATGCAACCTGCTGATGTGTTTTCAAAAGCTTTGGAAAAGGATCGATTTGAATTCCTACTCTGCAAGTTGGGCATTTTCCATCATCATGCTCCAACTTGGGAGGGAGGGGGGTAATTCAGAAAATATTGTGCAATATTTTATTTTTCTTTTTATTTCTTGGTATATTTGGTATAGAAAGATATGCTTTATAAAAGAGTCTTATAGCTGTAGTTTTTCATATAAAGAATTGTATCTAATTTAAGATTGCTCTGTATCTTTTTGTATATATATCCTTCCTTGTGTAGGAAAGAGGCAAACTTGAAATCCCAATATTTCTTTGTAATTTTTTGGCAAAATACATACTTTACCCATCGACTTTGTCCCCAAATCCCTCGTATACACCTGTTAAAGACAGGAATAATATTACACACCAAAATTTTTAAAGGTGTGTCAATTACACACCACTTCGGTGTTTGACCACATCTGCTTAAAGATTGTTATTACACGCGCTAATCAGCGTCTGACACGTGTCATAAATCGGAAAAAAAAAACTGAAAAAAACCCTGCCCCCCACGCCCACTCCTCATCTTCCCAAAGAAAAAAATACCGAAAAAGCCCCACCCCCTCCTAATCTCCCCAACCCCATCATCTTCTCCACCACCCCATACTACCACCAACCCTTCCACTACAAGCACATTCTTATCCAACTATAAATTCAACTCTTTGCCCGATTTTCAACAAGTTTTAACAACATCCATCACAAATCCTTGTAGAAAATTCAAAATCAAGCTCAAACCCAAAGCTTCAAACTTGTTAATGGCGTTTTTTAAATTTTATCAAAATTAATCTCCTAAGTAAATTTTTATTCAACAATAATCACGAATTCAAACTAATTTTCTAGGTCATGGAATACCAAAATCAACAAGACCCGATTAAATTTTCAAGCTTTTTCAAATGGTCAATAATGGTATTTTTACAAGACCCAATAGCTCCTCTTTTCTTCTTCTTTTTCTTTTTCTTCTTAGTCATGGGGGTTGAAGATATGAAATAGGAGGGGGTAGACAAAACTAGGATGGAGGTTGGGGAAGAAGGCAAAAC